TTTAGATCAAGTTAAATATAATTTTGGCAATTAAGTAAAATAATTTTGTCATTAATAAAAAACTAGTTTCGTCATTTTAGTTTCGTTAATTTCATCATATTAAGAAAGGTAATTTCGTCAGATATCACTAGTTTATATACTTAAAATAGAAAGAATTAAACAATAAATTGATAAACTCTTTCTATAAAAAGAAATAAATAAACAAGTTTGAGAATTCTTATATAATTATAATACACAAATTTACAATAAGAATTCTTATACAATTAATTTTACTTTATGAATTTTAATTAGTAGATTAAAAATAATCAATTTAAATTATTTCATAATTTTATTTTTTAAAATATACAATTACTTTCAAAAGAAAATTTGAAGTCTAATTATTAATATGCAATTCACAGTTTTCATAGTTTTCACAATTTTCACAGTTTTACAATTCAATTTTAAATTATAGAAATTAAATAAATTAAATCAACATATTAATTACTGATTTTTAACACAAGATTTAACCTACAGCTGAAAATTTGGCTAAGTTAAATCCATTTTAAACCAGTTTACTTAAAATTTTTGGTTAGCTAAAAAATACTGATTTTATCGATAATGCAATACAATAAGTTTTTATCAGCATTGTATTTACTTTATTAAGTTTGATGAAAAATTCAAGGAGAATTTATTGTCTTAAAAAATTTAAGCATTAAAAAATTTAATTTGACATATAATATTGTTATTTTCATTATTTTTTATTTACATAAAATTATATGTTATTTTAAATTCCTTAATAATTCCATATACATTAATTTTTTAAAAGATTATAAAAAAATAAATTATTATAAAACATATGGAATTTTGATATAGAATCATTAATTACATATACAAATCTTATAAAAAACGTATCATTTTCTTATTTTAATTTCTTATAGAAGAAGTGAATGTGGAATATTAACTTCTGTTATGCTTTGAGGTTCTGGTGGTATTTTAACATTTCTAACTTGAATAAATTTTCTACGAAATGCATTACGTGATGGCATGTAAGGATGAGTTCATTAGAAATATTAACCATATTATTTTGTATAATTTGTATAGGTTTTTCTTTAGTTTCACCAACTCTTTTTTTGATTTTTATGATAGCTTTTGCAACATTAGTACTGCTGGTGTATAGTTATGATCGATAAGAGTATTAAGGAATATGAACCATTATTTAATACAGTTGTAGCCTGATCTTTACATTTTTCTGATTTTATTTTTTCACAATACTAATAGTATTTATTATTATGACTTCATTTTTTTACCATCAAATATTCATAAACATTTATTTTGTTATTTTCTTTTTGTGATGATACAGTTTACAAATCTTACTTATTTTTTTTATAAGAGACTTTTTTATAAAAAAATTTTTGGAAGAACAATAAAATGAACAAAAGAAATTCCCACAAAAGAATTTTTTTTATTTTGATTAACTGATAAGCTTAAAGATAGTATAATAATATAATTGATAATGATATCATACATATAAATTTTTTGATTTTTTCTAACGTCAAAATTTTTTATTTTGATCAGAATAATATAATATCAGAATTTTAACAGTTAGGATTATATTTATTCAGGATTAAAGACCATTGGAATTATGGACTATCGGGATTTTAAGTATGTCAGGAATTAGGAATTAGAATTTTAGACTATCGGGATTTTGGATATGTTAGGAATTAGGAGTTAGAATTCTAGACTATCGGAATTTTAGGTATCAAAATATTATCATAAACTCGCATTTATTATATTCACTTTTCAGATGAACTTTAAAAGCATTATATTCATCTTTTAGATATTTACATTCTTTTCTAATCTGAACTTTAATAAAATTTTTAATATTATTTTTCTTTTACTTTAGTAATACTTTATATTTCACTAACTGCTTTTTAAATCTTTCTAGTTAGTAGAACTATCTAAAGTTGTATTTACTTCAATTTTAATCTTTTAGCAATCTTTTTCTTAAAATATCTATTAACTCTATTAACCTTATTTGTAAGTATTTTCTCAATATATAGATAGATATCCCTAACCTGTTCTTCAGATAGAGGATTATTTTTGCATGTTATAAATTATAATCATATATCCTTTTTCAATTATTTAAGCAAATCCTCATAGTAATTATTAAAATATAGTTAACTAGTCATATATTCAATAATAAGTAAGTAATATAAACTTGAAAAATTTTCAGAAAAAAACAATTTCAGGAAGTATAAAATGTTAGGAAATTCTGAAGAAAATTAGGCATTTTACAAGTTTATGTTAAAAGATTTTTTCTAAAAAATGCATGACCAGCAAGATTCTAGTCATTTCTAATGAAAAAATATTAGGAAATTGCAAAAAAATTATGCTAATTTTATATTTCTCTTTTAGAGAAAAAAAAATCATATGTATTACAATTTATAATACCAATTACTTTGCTAAGAAATAAATCATATAATTTTTATGTGAACCAAGTTTGAAAAAATTGCTAAGAAATAATCATACTGAAAATTTTCTGAATCAAGTCAGGTCAACCTGTGATCTGACTTGACCAACCTGAAAATCTAGGTCGGATAGACAAATTTTTAGATCAACATTAGATAAATTGATAAATCAAATTTAAATAACTATGGGATTGGGTTAGTGATAAATAACGACTAGCAATAACAAATTAATCTTTATAAAAAAACGTAAATAAAAAATTTCAATTCATACGTCCTTACAATATAAATTATAAAAAAATACTGGCATATATTTAAATTTTTTTTATATCCGTAAATCGAACCCAGTTATGAATCGTACTAATCTATAAGACCGTTCGGTACGATCATATATTGTACTGTAATCTACTGGTCTAAATAATATTATAAAACCAGAACGGTACGAACCGTGCTTTTCCTAATTTTTATTGATTTAGTTTATTTATGATAGTTAAATTTTATCAGGTATATCTAAATATCTAAATTTACAATTACGATATGATGACGCGTATCTGTATAATCTACATAAGTCAAATAGATCCATGTACTTTTTAATTATGAATTCATTGTCAATTAAATTAAGTTACATTGCATTGCATAAAATGTCATATACAAAAAAAATCAATTCATCTATATGAATACATTGAAATTAATGGAAATTTGGACTTTGCAACAGACAAATCTTAATCAAATAAAATTTCTTTAGTCTTAGTTCGGGCCGGAAATTATTATTTCCTCTTTTTTTTTTTTTTAACGAGGCAGGATCGCTCAGGATTTTTAAATAAAAATATATACAGTGATATGCATTGAGAATTGGAAATTCGAATTCTTCCAGCATTTTTAATTGGAAGATTTGAAAGTCTAAAAGCACTTCGAACTTCTAATACCCATCATTTTTGTACAACTAATCTAATAGTCAAATCTAAATCCCGATCGGAACTACCTTATAGTTAATAATAAAGATACATACATATATACAGTACTTTATCGTGTGATTATTTAAAAGGATTATTGTTTAATATCCAAATTAAACATTGTTATTTCTACTATTTCTACGTAAATTCGCACTCCATCAAATTTTTTTTTTGATTGTGATAAATCCTCCTATTGCTGTATTGTATACAACCAACGAACGTGTATTTGAGCATTCTTTTGATTATAGTTTATACAATAATATCAATTTGACAAAATTAAAACGAAGTGCTCGTCGCAAGCAATTTAATATACTGTAATAGACGCGTAATGATCATGTAATAAAATTTTGCGACAGATTTGAGGATATCCGATATACTGTAAAACACTGTAAAATGATAATTGAAACGTTACTATATCGGAACAATATTAGAAGCCGTTCACAGCATACAGCCTATGAACAGAAAGGTTGGTCAAGCATTATGACCAAAATTATATTAATAATTGCGAATTTATACCAAAATATTTGTGATGCGTGTATAACAACGAACATATAAACTATAGAGTAGGTGGTAAATGGGTAATTGCAAATTTGTATAGCCTATCAAATTCATTATGGAATTACATCACATCATCATTATTAGATTGATTACGAAAATTAATTGACGCAGTAAGTGATCGGCATGTCGTTCCAAGCTTACCGTTCCGTTTCAATTCATTGGACTTTTGTCGTCCAATTTCAATTAATCGTTTTTGCTTACAACAAGAAATAAAATAACACGTAATTCAAACTATTATATTTTACATAATACCTAAGCTCAGATGCAATTAATTATATTATTTAATCAAATAAATTAATAAATTTATTTTGGATATGAAAGTTAAAAAAAATTTTTTTTTCGTTTTCAGCACCGTAGGATTATTATTCCAGTAAATGGATGAATAAATTCTTGTCTGAAATTAAAATAATTGTTTTAAACATACATTATTGAGGAAATCTTGGCCTAACTTTAACCTTTAATTCCGTACACATATTTATAAACTTATATTCTAAATTCATGGGGGCATCCATATCTACTAATGTGATATCAAAATTTCTATAGATCAAAAATATTAAACATTTCATTTCTAATATAGCGATCTTTCTTCCCGGGCAACTTCGCGCTCCACCTCCAAACGGCAAATATGTATTCCTTAATGGTTCGGTTTCCATAAATCGATCAGGATTAAATTTATGAGGGTCTTTCCAAAAAGCAGGATTCCTGTGAATCCCGTCAGAATATATTTCGAATAACGTATTTGCAGGCCATTCATAACCGGCTATAATATCTTTTGTAGTAGAGACACGAGGGAGTGTCTTTGAAGGATTTACAAGACGAGTACATTCATTGAATACAGCTTCCGTGTAATGCATTTTCGAAAGATCTTCCACCGTGATTTGTCGATCTTTCTCGAAACCAAAGATTGTATCAAGTTCTTGTCGCAAACGAGTCAATACATCAGGGTAATGAGCTAAATAATACACCATGGTACATAATGTACTTGCGGATGTTTCAATTCCACCAGAAATTGCCTCAAGTATAATTTGATGAATTTGATCATTATTTAAAGGTTTAGAATGTTCTTCGTCAACACTTTTTTGATCGATAAGCTCCCGTTCAGTATTCATTGTGATCAATAATGTTAACATGTCCTGTCTTAATTTATCATCAATCGAAGTTTCCTTAATTTCTTTTCGTCGAGTTTCAATAACCTTGGTTAAAATATCAAAAGTCTGCTTTCTATTCTTTAGCGCCGCAATGTTCTTCTTTCTTAAGATGGTATGTCTGACTAATGAAGGAATTGTGAGAAAAAAGCCTATATTATCTAAACCTTCTTTAGTAATGTCAGGAAAATCTTCAATTTCTTTATCAATGGGATTTGTTTCAGTGGGTTTTTTCTTTGATGATTCGACAATACTATTAAAGTATGGTTTCAATCCGTTAACTCTTAAACCAACGAAAGCTTGGAAGACGATCTCAGTCATGAATTTATGCATCCAAATTGAAAAGTCAATTGGTACATCCTCACCAATTTCCTTCCAATATTTATCTAATTCATCGTAGATTGTTGGAATCAAATTTACAATCCCTTTGGAGAAATTCGGAGCGAGGATGACCTTGGTAAAGAATCCTCGATTAAATTTCCAAGTAGGAATGTGTGAATTTAAAGTCATCCCTGATTTTGAAATTCCTAATTCATCAAATGCGGGAATATTTCCCACTCTTAACGTGTAATCGTTCTTTGTGGAAGGTGACATCATCTTCTCGATGTAATCCGGTCGAGATATTATTACCCTTCGAAAACCACCCATATATGATTCGAAAATATCACCATGTCTTTGATGTAGTATCTTGTACCATACTGTAAAATCCCCTCTACCATAATAAATTATTCCTAATAAATTTCCAATTATAGGTAGTGGGATAGACCCAGGTAAAGGGTTCGGACGTGTAAAATACTCGTAATAAAATTTTGCGACGTAAAAGAATATAATTATTCCTATAACGTCTGATACTCCCAATGATGTTAATATCATGATTTCTTTAATTTTTAATTAATTTCAAAGGAGTCTTCAGGGTGGTAATTCGTAAAATTGTAAGGTGTATTAATTTTTATTGATATAAAATAATTTTTTTTTAGGACTAAAAAATTTTTTCTTTGTATGAATTGAGGATGATGCGTATTTATCTAAAATTTTTATAAGATGTGAGTGACTAAACTAAATCGGAGAGCAAAACACCGGCTAATCCCCAAGGAGAAAGGAACAGTTTAGAAATAGAAAGACTTGCGGTTTGCTAGTAAATTACGTTACAGATCATATGATCTACCATGTTTCGTGCAACTTTCTTTAGTGTCGATTTTTACCATAATTGAGTCTGTAAGTATAATGCGAATCTGTGTTTGATTAAAAATAATGGAGTAGTTAATAATTGTATTAAAGAGGATAAGAGGATTGCGACTATACTTTTTTTGACATTTAGGCCGATTCATCAAACTCACTTTATTTTCGAATATACAAAAAGATGGTTTGAATATTTTATTTCATAAATTAGGATGTTCCAAGCTATTCCACTTTCGGTAGATGGAAAAAGTCCATTTCATAATGCATAGATAATTATTAGTGTACAAAAGATTTGCGTGCGATAAATTTTTCTTTTTTTATAACCATCAGCTCCTCAAAAAATTATACAATTATAATTTTTCGAAAGATATGAGAGACAGTTAAATCATTAGAATACTTTTTAATCCATCATTTGAAAAAAAAAAAATATTTAAAATTTCCTAAAGTGATAAATTGAGTTGCTGTTGACCATTGGTTCATGATACTTAAATATGATCGGCAAGCCGCATATCACCATAATGGTTAAATATTTAGGATCGATCTATCAGGAAAAATAATTAAGAAAGGAACCAATAAATTTAATAATGTGAAATCTCTTGAAATTCATTTTCTTTTGAAAAAATAAGTGTGATCGGGACACGTCGATTAAGAAATTTATAGTCACGTTGTAAATTCCATTTATAACGAACTTTATGATTAATACAATGCTGTATGTAATAAGCTTTCAGTATACCATATCGGCGGGTTTGATTAATTATCCAAGTACAGAGGGTGGACAAAAGTTTCCACTACCGTTGAATATCTCAAACTCTAGTGATATATTATAAATACAATCTAACCCTATAACATATTACGTTTTTGGTAAAATAATTACTATGACATGTATATAAAACATATTATAATAATTTCAGAATAATATAAAAATTTGAGCTAATTTTAATCGCTAGATGCTGAGAAAATCGACATCAATGATAGTATATAAATTCTTTTTAATAAGTTTTTATAATTTATATAATATATTAGTTTTCTCAACAACCTATGATTATAATTGGCTCATATTTTTATATATTATAACATTAGATAGTAATAATAATATATTAAATTTTGGTCCAATTTGAATCATTGGATTTTGAGATATTCATTGGTGACGATCGTATACGAAAACTTTAAAAAATATTATTTTATTATTATTTTAAATTTCTCTGATTAAAATTAGCTCAAATTTTGATATATTATAAATATATTATTTAACTATAATTTATAAAAGTTTTCTTAATTTGAATCGTTAGGTATTGAGAAAATTGACATTAAATACTGTATATTAGAAAGTGTGCAGACACTTTTGTCCACCTCTGTATATTTAAATTTTGTACTATAATAATAAAGTTAAGATATGCAATGCAATAACAATAAGTATGTGTAACTTTTAAAAAATTCAATTCAGTACAATTTTAATTTTGGTATAATTTCAGCCAAATTAAAAATTTATATATTATCGGCCGAATTTTAATTTAATGAATTTACTCTAAAATCTTATCGTTAAGAATTTAAATAATTAATATTAAAAGCTTCGTATGCACGTGGTAAAAATTGTTACCTATTACATAATGTCACATTAATTATAAGCCACCTATTTAACTTCGATACTAAAAGTTAATTTTCGTGTTTAACTGCTAACAGTTAAAGCATTTAAACGTTTAAATTATTTAAAAATAAAATGAAAGAAGAAAGTACATATCCCAAAAGTCTTATATAAAATTATTTGATAATAAAAGAACCTTTTTTTATGAAATTAAAAAGAGGGAACATATCCTCTTTGCAACCAACTTTATTATACCAGAAATCCAAAACATCCAATTCCCCATAATTATGTTGTTAAAACTATATATGGAAAAGCGAAACATATTGTTGAGTGTTCAATTAATTATGTAAAGAGACCTTTATATAAAATTCGCTTTGGAACTAATTTTTCAAATGAAGTTCTTTCTGAGAAATCTTCAACAGAAGCGGCTTGCAAATATTATCAGGCATGTTTGCATTCTAATAAATTAACTTTCTTTTGTTATTAAGATAAATGTTACAAATTTAACCAAATAGTATTTAGAAAAAAATCAAAGCAAGCAAACAAATAAAAAAAATAAAGGAAAAATATCTGGTCCTTTACTTTTTGGGCTCAAATTACTTAGTGTTAAACAAGAGCGTAAAACAATATCTCAAGATCTTAAAATTCGTCTTTTTAGTAAACTTGATAATTCTCAAAGGCGCAATAAAATACTTTGTCTATCTCAATGTATTTTGGATATTGTTAAAGAAGAAAAAGGGAATACATTATATCCAACTGATCAAATAAAACTTAAGCAAATAAAATTTGAAACATGTGATGATTTATATAATATATTGTTTGAAAAGTTAGATAAAATAAAAACCACAATAAGGATTGAAGGAGTAGTTAAATCTTTGGATAAAAATCATATTTCAAGAAAAGCTTATCAATCTTTAGAACAAATTGAACAAGATATTTCATGTGAAAAAGCAGTATCTAGAGTTCTGAACAGGTCGGGTCGTCAAATATAAAATTGTTCTGAATTAAATACTGACCTGATCTATCTAAAAAGAAAACAAAACAATTATTAATTTTGCTTAAATTTTTTAAAAAAATATAAAAAAATATTGATACATTTTAATTTGATTATTTTTCAAAAAAAAAAGATACTAATATAATTATTTTTAACTTCAGAATTTAAAATTACAAGTTGCGATAAATCTGTAAATCAGATGACTGCTATTTTAATTATGAAAAATGTGTATAATTTTACAATCATTAATCCAAACATAATAAAATTTATATGCACATATTTTTAAGCTCTATGAATTATTTTACATGCGCAACCAAAGTTGATTTACTTTGACCAAAATACTTAAATTACTCTTTGAAGTCACTAAATGAATAAAAAAATAAAAATATTTCCAAATATTTCGTGAAATAATATAATCATGAAAACATTCATAACTTTACAACCATTAATCTAATCATAATAAAATTTATATGCATATATTTTTGAATCTGCTAAACAACTTTACTTATACAACTTAAGTTGATTTTTTTTGCCCGAAATACTTAAATTGCTTTTTGAAATTACTATATAGATAAAAAATAAAAACAAATAATTTGCAAGATAATACAATTATGAAAAACATGCATAATTTTACAATTATTAATCCAATCATAATAAAAATTTATATACACATATTTTTGAACCTGTTAAATAAATTTACTTATGAAACTAAAGTTGATTTTCTTTGACCAAAATGCTTAAATTGCTCTTTAAAGTCACTAAACAAATAAAAAAATATATATTTCGTGAGATAATACAATCATGAAAAACATTTATAACTTTATAACCATTAATCCAATTATAATAAAAATTTATATGCATATATTTTTATACTTATTGAATAACTTTACATATATGACAAAAGTCGATTTCCTTTAATCAAAGTGCTCAAATCACTAGTCGAAATAATCCATTTCATCACTTTTTTAAAGTGCTGAATGTTGGCCAAAATATAATCTAATTTCTGCTGATCATTG